ATAACAACGGGCTCGAGCATGCTGGAGACCATGAGGATTGTGCAGAATAGGCTAAGGTTCGGATCTGTTGTTTATAGAGTTGTTATAAATTGTAATTGACTCAAAAGCACCTAACAGCAACAACAACAACATGCCTATTGGGGTTAAGCAAGGTCCAGATCCTACTCTCCTTCCAGGAAAACATCAGGGTGAACAGGCAAAGACTTGAGTGTATGTCCCCTGGTACCAAAGCCAAGCCCAAACCATTGCTTCTGAGTCATGTAAACTTTCCACCTCTTTTCCAAGACAATAAATCTTGATGGGAAGAGAGTGGCTAGTGGATTTGAACAGTTGACTTTTGGCTTAGTAGTATCACACATAATGCGCTATGCCACCAAGACTCCTTGGCTCCGGTGGCAGGAGGATAAAATGAAACCAAACCAGTGCCAAAGAGTCTACTCTGGCTCATGATGACCATGTGTGTCAGAGCAGAATTAAACTCCACAGGTTTTTCAATGGCTTTTGCTTTTTGGAAGCAGATTTCTAGGCCTTTCTTCTGAGGGGTCCCTAATTGGGTTTGAATGACTAACTTTACAGTTAATAGCTGAGCATTTAACCATATACATCATAGAGAGACTTTGAAGGGATGTGAATATCAAGGCAATCAATGCAAGAGGCCAGTCTAGAGCTTAACACTATGGGTTGGCATCTCTCAGACTACCCGGGTATGGAGATATCTGAGGGTGTGGAAAGCATCTATAATGTGAAGTGATGCTATCTTCTCTGCTTGGCTTTTCCACATATCCCAACAAGGAGATAGAAATAAGGTTGACCCAGGTTCTGTGGCCTGGAGTGCTAAGAATGAGAAGGCACCTGGTCAGTTTCCTTCTGCTGCTTCTCTTTTGGCACCTGTGGTGGCAGGGTTTATTGTTCAAAATGGCTTTCCTAACCTTTGGCTTTGCTTTCACTGGGAACTTGAAATAGGGTGTGTTTAAACTAATCATTCAGGGATTGGGAAGTGCTTCCCATCCCACCACATTTAAATTGAGCAGGCTTAGCAGCACATTGGGACTGGGATGCACTTGAGACCAGCAGCAGCCAGAGTGGTGAACTAGAGAATAACATGAGGCCGAACTGATCTGGGTCTGCTGCTCCCCAGAGCTAGAGCCAGGGGCCTTCACCCAAGCTTGCTAGAGGACTGAGGGGAGACATCATAATTGACAGGACTAAGAGAACTGACCTAAACCCTGAGGCTTATGAGCCAAGAGCCTGTGAGCAAGCTTGAGAAGCTGTCTTGACTAAGGAATTATATCCAATTGAATATACCAACCTGAATTGTAACCTGGTAACTTCCCTAGTAAACCCTATAACCGTAAAATGGCTCTGTAAGATCTGTGTGGCCATTGCAATAGATTTCAGACCTAGTAGAGCAGTACAACTGACACTGAAATTAGTAGATGTGGGAGCATGGAGGCCATATATGTCCATATGAGAATTAGTTTGATACTGGATGCTGCTGATGGGGGTTATTTACCTTTGTGACATTGATAGAGGTCAGATGTGGTTGTTTCTATATCTTTATGCTTTTTGTCGCACATGCCTTTCCTATTTACCTACTCTCTCTCAACAACTAGTAGAAGTGAGTTTTATTCCAGGCTCCAAGTTAATAAAAAAATCAAAAAATCTAGGAGTGGGTCTAATCTGCAAAATGAGATCTCTTTCTGCATTTATTGTGATAGATGCAACACAGAATTTTCAATAGAGGCTGATGTTCAGAAAAGAAATGAAAACCAAAATGCAAATGCTGGGATAAAATAATTCTTAGGAGAGTCATCTTTTTGCTGGTGTTTTTCCCTTGCTCATCCCTCTGTCTCTGCCAATTTAGAGTCATAGAAAACTTGTCACGTGACTCCTTTTCAAACTGGGTTCTAATTGGAGCTGTTTCCCCTGCCCACTGCCCATCTGTCTGCTCTAAAGGTGCTCTAAGTGCTGGGTAGGGCGGGCAGAATTGCCACAGAGTGCTCTCAAGTCAGAACTGAAATACGTGATTGGACTCGGTCCTAGCAGAGACAATTTTATTACCCTAAATGTCCCGGAACCCTGTTGCCTCTGACGTGAGACGACTCTATGCTGGGTCATTCCCGGACGTCCATCTGCTGTTAGCTTTGGCCTCCTAAAGCAAGTAGTTGCAACATGAATCACAGAGGCTGACATCAGAGAGGCTGGACATGAGGTGGCAACAGAGGAGAATGGCTAGGCACTTCTCTTACTGAAGGGTGAGAGGCTGCAGGCTGTGATGCCCCTAGACTCCTTGGGGATTGTAGTGGGGAGTGAGGGACCAGCATCAGCAGCCAGGGGTCAGGGGGCAGGGGGGAGGAGTGGGCTCAAGCCGAGGAAGGGCAAGTGGAGCTAGGCCAGGGCCATCTGAAATGACCTGGTGTCAACTATTAGGCAGGGCTTGTCATACCCAAACCAGACATCAACTTAGGATGGAAAGAATTTTTTCTATGATCTTTTTCATTTGGCCTAAAAAGCAGTGCAGTCCAGATATGTAATTCTTTGCTTTTGTAAAACATTTCCCTCTCATTCAAAGAATGAGCCTCCAGCACGCTCTTGTGGTGGTTTATTAACGTCATTGACAAAGTTACATTTTATTTCTGAGTTGGAAAGAAAAAAAAATTCTATGCAAGGCAAACATTTTACTATAAAATATTTAAATTTAAAATAAATAAATTCATTTCATCCTATATAAGTCTCCAGCTGCCACATATAAGCAGAAAGCATGATATAAATGAAATAAATTTAAAAAGCCTTAAGATACTCTGATTGATAGGTTCAGCATAGATCACTTATTTCTGCCTTAGCTTTGCTTTGGTTCCCCAAAATCTAGGCCATCCCTGGAGGTGGGGATTACCTCATCAAAAGATGCCCAGGTCTTTAAATCACACTTGGGTGGGAAGGTTGGGTGTCTAAATTGAAAACGATGGTTGAAAAGCAGAGATTTCCAAGCTGGAAGCATGGAAGCCAAGGCCTCTTATTCTCCATGGCTTCATAAAAGGTTCACCTGGGATATGGAAATAAGTAACTGGGAGCAAAGAAACACATTGCTTCAGAGCAACAGCCATGAATAACAGTTGAGTTAGAGACCTGGAATGTGTCTGAAGTCTTCTTTGATGTAAGATATGGAATTTCCAACACAGTCTTAATCTAAATTTCATCAAGGAATCTGCATTAAGTGGGTTGGATTAATGGAAAAGTACTCTGTTCACCTCTGAATTAGAAAACAAGACTTTGGGGGCAGGGTTTAGGCCAGGGGTGACAAAGAATCAAGGATTTTGCTACTAATTCTTTACATAGCAGGCATTACTAATGGATCACTGCACTTTTTTTTCTCAGATTCTATCTGAACACTGCACTTCAGGCAGCCTCTATCAGTCAATCATATTTAGCATGAGATGAAATTTATTTACTAACTTTGGTCCTTCTCTATGCTCTGAACAATTTTGTATCTAGGAATAGATAAGCCATAGGTATTGTCTGCCCAAGTAGTCATTGTGAATAATCACTTAACCTCATTGGTTACATTTATTACAAGGGCAAGGACCTCTAATGCAGAATTGTTAGAAAAATTTGGACAATATATGCAAAGTTCCCAATATGATGCCTGGACACAGTAGGCATTCAGTAAGTAGCAACAAATATAAAAAGCATCATCATTATTATAAAATCATATAAGCGTGATTTTGATGGTGACTTTTAACGATGGAGTTGGTGATGACATTTTCATTAAAAGAAGGAAAGCATAATGTTATGTATTAGTTTGAATTATATGATATTAAATTGTTTTGAATTGGCAATTTCTTCTGGTTCCACCCAATACATAGTGATATATGTAACTCACATAATTTACTTTTCCAACTCTATTAGATTTTTCCCTTCAAAAATTGCCTCTAGAGGCATAATCCCACCACTCAGTTGTCAAAGCATCCTCAAACTAGTTGCTGGAGTAATTAATTGAGCAAAGGAGTCTGCCAGAAAAGAAGTTGAAGACCTGTTGTCTAGTTTCAATACATGATCTTACATTATCTGCTAATGTTCCCATTTTGTCATCTGTAGATGGGAAAGAATTGTACTTTCTTTAAATAGCAATTTTGTGAAGACACTGGAAAAACTCAAACTCATTGCCATCAAGCAGGTTCCAACTCAGCAACCCTCCTCAGTGTTTTTGAGACTGTAAATTGCAATGGGAGGAGCTGCTGGTGTATTAGAATTGCCAGAGATATGAGGTTCTTGGGTTAGCTGCACAGCTAACTTCCAGAGAAGAGATAAAGAATGAGAAAGCACTTTCAAAAACTAAAACAATGATTTCAAAGCAAAGGATTATTATTTTCACTAAGTTGTACCACATGAGAAATCATTAGCATCCAACATTTAATTTTAAATCACTTATTTCTATAGAAATACTACACATTAAAAAATACAGAATTCATGCGATCATGCCAAAGGAGCATCAAAACTAATCTCTAGTGAATATTAAAATTAAGTAAATAGTGCTTTGTCATTAAAACTCTTATCTCACCAAGGTGAAACAAATTTGACAACAGAAACACTCATGTGTTTATAAGTGGCTTTAACATCAGGTTCTTATATTTAACTAGAAAGTGTACACATTAGAACTACCAACGAAGCCAGTGCAGTTTTCTACCTTCCTTCCTTGAAGGTCTTTAAAATTGTTTAAGCGAGTTCAATTTTGGTGTAGTTTTGATTAAAGATAGGAATATAAACTTTATGGCATCTCAGTGTAATTTTCAGACCAATAGCATTAGCGATCCTAAGAATGAATAGTTTTATTTTGCATCCAAAACCAATTCATAACCTGAGCCCTGAACCAGGACACTTGATTAGTAAAGGCGTTCAACTAGCTACCACCTACCAGGGGAACTCGCTCAATGCCAGTCCTCACGTTTCTCCTCTTGTCCAGCCAACTGTGGTCAAGACAAGGCCTCTGGGGAGGGTCACCCTTAGTCAGCCTCAAAGGCACTGTTGGTTGCTCCAACATATTCCGATTTCTTCTTGTGCTTCATCCACATTTTCCGGAGGATGCTGGGCACACCGCAGGAAGCACTTCCGGTCAGCGGTAGAGAGGCCTCTGCTCCTTGGGGAAGGGCGGGGTACTCCTCAGTCATCTTTTTGAGATATCTGGATCTATACAGGCCAGGGGTGGGTGGAGAGGGCAGTCACTCTACTGAGCCAGACTTTCAATTATTCACCCTAGAGAAAAGTAGCCTTACCTTTTATTCCTCTATGAGCACATCCAGTGGGCAGGCTCTGCATGGTTGAAGAGTTTGGGGTCACCTTTGGGATCCTCATGAGAATGACTCCCCATGAGTGCACATCACAAGAGACTGAGGAAGGGGGGACCCTGAGAACTCTACCCTATGGGACCTCAAATTCTGTTCCTGGTCCCTCCTTCTCCACCCTATCCCACTGCGTCAGCTGATCTGTCAGGGCCTCTTAGGAATCAGAACATAAGAAAAGCACCTTTATTACCTAAGTTTTCTAGCTTCCCACTCAGTGCAAGCTAGCTTTCCTTTTATATATATATATATATATAGTTGTTGTTGTTGTTATGTGCCGTCGAGTTGCCTGCGACTCATAGCGACCCTATGTACAACAGCCCTAAACTCCGCTCTGTCTTGTGCCAATCGCACTGTCTCTGACACTCCCATCCCAATTATCCCAGTCACTGAATCAATCCACTTCCTAGAGGGCCTTCCTCTCCTGCGCCGTCCCTCCACCCTCCCAAGCATGATGTCCCTCTCCAAGGACTGGTCTCTCCTCACAACATGTCCAAAGTATGTTAGACGGGGCCTCAGAATCCTTGCCTCCAAGGAGCCACCCGGTTTAACCCTTTCCAGGACAAATCTGTTTGTTTTCCTAGCAGTCCATGGTATTCTCAATACTCTTCTCCAGCACCACAGCTCAAAGGCATCAATTCTCCTTCTATCCTCCTTGGTCATTGTCCAACTCTCTGATGCATAACAGGTATATATATATATACACATATATATATATGTGTGTGTGTGTGTGTGTGTATATATATATATATAGGCTTGAACTCACTCTAATTTATGTTTTAAAAACACAAATTCAGGGTTTAAAAAATTTGCAAGCATAACTACTATACAATTTTTGTCACCCCAAACAGAAGCTTTATACTAAGAGATAATGAGAACTCTTTAATCATTCTGTCTCTATCTCTGTAATCACTAATGTGATTTCCACCTCTATGAATTGACTAATTCTAGATACTTCATGAGAGTGAGGTACAATATTTGCTCTTTGCTGTTGGACTTTTCCCCATTCATCAGATGTTTTGGTGTTTTTTTTTTCATCAGATGTTTTGAAGGCTTATTCACATAGCTTCAGAATTTCATGTCTCTATGAAGGAACATTACATTGTGTGTGTGTGTGTGTGTGTGTGTGTGTGTATTATTTTGTATATCCATTCATCTATTGATAGACACTTGAGTTGTTTCCACATTTTGCCTGTTGTGAGTAAGTCTGCAATGAATGAATACAAGTGTATGAGAATGTGAGTCCCTGTTTGAAACCTGCGTATTTACCATGGAGTAGAATTGCTGTGCTGTATGGTAATTCTAAGAAGCATTTAGAGTGTGTAGTGTGTAGGTGGTGTAGTGTGTAGCATGTTTCACTGCTAATGGAAATATCTGTTTGAATCCACTGCTGCTCTTTGCAAGAAAGATAAGCAGTCTCCTCTCATTAAGATTTACAGATTCAGAAACAGGATGGAAGGACACTATAAGTCAAAATTGGCTTGATGGTATTGAGGTTTTTATTATAATTCTTTGTCTATGCAAGTAATCTGGCTGGAACAGGCAGATGTCCCAAATTCTCAGCTATGGTTGGAGCATGACTTTTGGAGGTAAAGTCCTAGGGCTAACCCATGAAGATGATTTGCTACCCTAATGCTAGTCTAGACTAAATTTAATAGTAACACAGAAGTCACAAAGCTGGTTTGAAAGCCTTGTGTTGTACTCCACACACTTCCTTTCAGTGGGTAGGAGCTCTTGACCTAATTCTTAAGGCATTTCTGAACTAGCATGCTTGTGGGAGGCTCTGAATATGGCTCATGATTACATTCATCTAATTAACCAAAAACCTTCCCAAAGGAGATTTCTCCAAGACTGGAAAAAGCTTGCATTCATAAAGTGGAAACCATCACAAACACTTCAGCTTAATCCCTGGGAAACAGTTGACCAGACTCTAGGAGAGCAGAGATTATCACCCTCATTAAAACATAATTTACAGCTGGCGTGGCTTTTGTTTCAGCATCTTGATGGACTGTAAACAGGCCACCTGTTCCTCTCCTGTGTGTGGGTCAGAGCAGAAGGCGAGCACTCACCCCTTTGTCTTAACAGAACTGCTCTCCAGGCCTGTAGCTGCTGCCCCCACTGCCGCTGGGGCTTTCACAGAAATCCGGGGGACCAGAGGAACCTGTGGAGGATGGAAAAGAAATGTGAAGGATGTCTCCATAACGCCCACCCTGGCCCTGTCTGGGGTCCTTGGACAGAGGGATGACTAAATTGTTTGAGGTAAAATGACCTACAGCAACAGTTTTCACACTTCAAATAGACCCCCTGGAACTCTTAAATCTGGTTACTGGACCCCACCCTAGCCAGATCCTGAGGGTCTGAAGTGAGGCTTGAGGATTTGCATTTCTAACAAGTTCCCAGGTACTCATTGATGATGTCATTACTGTGAGACTCCACTTTGGGAACAACTGACCTAGAGAAACAATCCTCAATCTGGCCTGAGGACTGTCACCTCTCACAACCTCAGTCAACTATATGCAATCTACTGTCAAATCCTGCAGATTTTTGCCAGTAAATATGACCCAGATTATCCTGTCCTGTCTCCAGTTCCATCAGTACAACCTCTAAGGGCCTGTCACCTGGGATCTTCAACTTTCCCACCAGATCAGACAAATATAACATGCCACTCCTTAATCAGTTGTTGTGTACTGTCAAGTTGAAACTGACCCTTAGCTGACCCTCCTTCGGTTTTCAGAGGCAATAAGTTGCAAGAGAGGAAACTGCCCATCTTTGTCCTTCAGATTCCTGTGGATTCTTTGGGTTAGCAGCACAATTCCTTACCACTAGGGCACCAAAGTACCCCACTCCTGATTCTAGAACCCATAAAGACTCACTGCTTGAGATAGTAAACAGAAGCCAACCCTGGACCTTGATCTTCCAAAGCAGCCTCTACCTATCTGTGAAACACCCTCTTCGGCTCACTCTGTGTGCGTTGTTAACCCCAGTCAAGTTTAGTCACACTGTTGCCCGCCCCACACTCCAATGCTGCCACACCACCAGTGCTTGTTCACAATTTTGCATTTTCTCTTGGCTTTAATTTCACTGTCTGGGTTGAGGCTTCGCATATTCCTGCCTGGCTCATGGACATCTCTGTGCAGATGTCCCCACAGCACTTAATATCTATGTGGCATACTTTAACACCCCACCAGTTCTATTTCTTTTTTGGTTTCCTGGTTGTTCTATATGTTTGTCTAGTCCCTCTTCCCCATAAAGATTGCACTGCCCCCTTTGTGTCTGTATCTGAGCCCTTCCAAAGGAGGCGTTAAGTGCTCATGTAACTCATGCTCAGTGAAAATTCACTCATGGTCTGACTAGTCCAGAGGTCAGTGGACTTTGTTCCTCAAGACTAAGCCCCAACAAATGCTTAAAGTCACAACATTCCTGAAATTTCTGGGGATCCTCAAGCCTTGGGCCCAGCCTTTCCTATCTTGACCCTCTGGAGCAGGTCTGCACTGTGGGCAGAGTTACTGTGCCACCTTGTGGCCTCTCTTGTTCTTTCCTCATCATGCCAACAGCCTTAGTGCACATGCCCAGCTCTGATCTTGTTACCCATTCCCTCTGTCCTCTTTCCTCAGTCCAGCCTCACTGAGTGCAGCACAGTGTTGACTCAGACTTGGCTATGTGGTCTCTGGGCTGCTCTCAGGTCGGAGGGTCTCTGGGAGCTGCAGGACATAGGCCACGTCTCGGGCCCACGAGGGTCGGGCCCGTCAGCCTCCTCCAGCCTCCATTACTGTTGCTTCTGTTTAGTCACGATGCCTAGGGAGCTCAGTGGCCAGCTGTTCCATGGGAGAAGGATGAGCAATCTCTTTCTGAATGATTAAATGGCCTATAAACACCTGCTTGAGGGTGACCTATGGGCTGGTTCAACAAGAAGAAACCACGACCCCAGAACCACACTATTCTCCCACTTGCTCAGGGCCCTCAGCTGTAGCTATTTGCTGCAAAGGGTGCTGTCTGAGCTTGTTCAAGGGCTGGGACCCGAGTCTTCCTTGAAGGCAGTTGCTTGGCCTGTCACAGCCTGGTGACATTCGCCTGTGCTAAGGACCTAGATTCTCCCATCTCTCCCTGAGCAACAGGTTGAGGAAAGGGGATTCCCGGAAAACTCTCTTGTTCTCTCCCTGCTGTTCCATGTGGTTTCACAGTGGTGAGCTGAATGAGATCCCTGTATTATATTTCTTGCCAAATCTACCAGTGACACTCTCAATATCTCTGTCCAATTTGTTTAATAACAACAAGACAGCTGCCTAGACAGTCCCACTTGCTTCTTCTAGTTCTGCTGTTTTATTATTCTATAAATCTTGTAAAATGATGTTTTAAAAATATCCAGAATTTCCTCAGATGCCAGATAACCTCAATCTTGGTGATTATCATCCCAACAATGACTGCCCATCAAACTCAGAAGAAAAGGAAGGAGGTGGGATTTTGAAAAAAAAAATTTTTTTAATCCCCCCACCCCCACCCTTTTGCAGATTGATGCTGAGGTGGATCTGGAGATGGACAACTTGGATTCTCCTGTGAAGTCCTTTTGGGTTAGCCACCACTACTGAGGGCCTTTGGCCCATGGTCACACCTTTACTGGGGTGGCCCACATGTGGTGATGGATTGGGAAGGGAATATAAAGGGTGGCCCATTCTGCTGCAATCCTGAAGCATGTAGTTCAAATCCACCATATGTTCCATTGAAGAAGGAATGGTAATCTCCTCCTGTGCCAGTCAAATCCGACTTGATGGTACACAATAAGAAAAGGGAAAAAAACACAAAACCAAAACAAGCAAGCAAGCAAACAAACAAAAAAAAGGCACCAGTCCTTGAAGAAGAGCCTCATAAAGAAAAAAAAAAAAAAAAAGGCTGGCCCATTCTAACATCCCTTGAGACAACCCTCACGAGGAATTCTCACTCTCAGCTCTCTGCTAGAGCTGTTTGGTCTGCATGGTGGTTAGATTTCTCCCTTGTGCAGATGACACAACCTTGCTTGCTGAAACTGAGGAGGACCTGAAGCACTTGCTGCAGAAGGTCATGGACCGTGTTCTTCAATATGGACTGAACATCAAGAAGACAAAGATTCTCACCACTGAGCCAATTGGCAGCACCATGGTAGATGGAGAAAAGATTGAGGTTGTTATCAATTACAGTTTGCTCGGCTCCACAATCAATACTCTTGGCACCACTAGCAGTTAGAAAATCAAAAGACAAATTGCAGGGACCTCTCCAGAATACTGAAAAGCAACAATGATAGTCTAGAAACTAAGGTGTACCTAAGCCAGGCCATGGTCTTTGCAATCATTTGCTATGCATCAGAAAGCTGGACAATGACTAAGGATGACAGAAAAATTGATGCCTTTGAATTGTGGTGCTGGAGGAGAGTCTTGAACATACCATGGACCACCAAGAAAACAAATAGGTCTGTCTTGGAGAGGATGAAACCAAGTTTCTCCTCAGAGGCGAGGATTTTGAAACTCTGTCTCACATACTTTGGACATGTTTCCAGGAGAGACTGGTCCTTGGAGAAGGACATCATGCTTGGAAGAGGGGAGGTACAGTGCAGGAAAGGAACCCCAGATGAGATGAATTGATAGCAATGGAGGTTGGTATGTCAGAGATGGCTCAGGACAGTGCAGGCTTCAGAGCTGCTGTACATAGGGTCACTATGGGTTGCAGGAGCCTCGATGGCACATAACAACAACAATAACAACCCTAAATCCGATTGAAGTCTTGATGTTTCAGTGGAAGAATTCTCCCCATAGATGAGGGAGCATTAGATTGATTTCCGGCAGTGCACCTCGTGTATAACCACCAGCTGTTTGGTAGTGGGGGTTGGTTCTGATGCTCAATAGGCTTCAGTGAACCTTCTAGACTAAGATAAACCATGGGAAAAGGCCTGGAGATCTACTTCTAGAAATCAACTAATGAAAACACAATAAATCATCTGAATCTCACTCACTGGATCATAAGGATAGTGGAAGAATGGGTAGTGTTTTGTTCCATTCAATGGCAGCTAAAAAGAACATAAAAACTCATTTCCATGTCAGCTTCCAAAGACTGATCTGAGCAGATGTCCTCCTAAGACGGTGCTCTTCCCCTGAGATTTATAATGTTCTGTGCTTCACACAAAAACAGTGCTCCAGATCCTTATATCTTTAGATGACTGGAGCTGGGCTTGGGAATTAACCAGGCTTTTCCACCTGGTAGGGGCTGAGCTGAAAGACAATTCTTTCTCCCCATTTATGAGATGTTCATTGAGTAATATCTTGTCTGAGAGCTGAATTTTGGCCAGAGAAACAGAAGCAGCTGGTGGATGCTACAAGAACACAACACAGGGTCAATGGACATAATTTTAGGAGCCAAGAATTCTCATCAGAGGTTTTCTAATTCTCAGGCCTGGTGCAAAGGAGAATTATTCCCTTTTCAGGCATAGTGAACCGTTTAAGGCACAACAGCTACAAGAAACCGGTTATAGCTTTTACTCACCAATGATTTTCCATATGCTCGGTTCCCACACAGATTGGATGAATTGGGATCAGAAAGCCGCACTGCAAAGTTGAACAGAGGAGATGAATAATCAGGGGTACTTTGTGTTCTGTCTCCCCCTGCTTCTGCATCAATTATCCGCATAGCCAATCAATTACAAGCAGGGGATTACTAAAGGCCTTTGTGCAAAGCTGAAAAAAACAAGGAAGTGGGGTCAGGCAATGGGGTAATTGTTGGGTGGTGTGGCTTGTGCCCTTGCATTCTTCTAGGGGTTGGGGCTGTTCTGGAAACTGGGGCTGTTCTAGAAACCTGCGTTATGCGGATGACACAACACTGCTTGCTGAAACTGAAGAGGACCTGGAGCGCTTGCTGCAGAAGGTCAAGGACTGCAGCCTTCAGTATGAATTGAAACTCAACATCAAGAAAACAAAGATTCTCACCAGTGGGCCAATTGGCAGCATCAGTATGGACTGCGAAGAGATTGAGATAGTTAACAGTTTTAGTTTACTTGGCTCCACAGTCAACATTCTTGGTAACAGCAGCCAGGAAATCAGGAGACAAATTGCACTGGGGAAGTCAGCTGTGAGGGACCTCTCAAGGGTACTGAAGAGCAATGACGTTGGGCTGGAGACTAAGGTGCGCCTGATCCGGGCTATAGTCTTCGCAATTGTGTGCTATGCATTGGAGAGTTGGACAGTAAACAAGGATGATAGAAAGAGAATTAATGCCTTCGAGCTGTACTGGAGAAGAGTGTTGAATGTACCGTGGACTGCTAGGAGAACAAACAGTTTTGTCCTGGAGAGAGTGAAGCCAGAATGCTCCTTGGAGTCAAGGATTCGGAAGCTTCGTCTGACATACTTTGGGCATGTTGCAAGAAGGGACTGGTCCTTGGAGAGGGACATCATGTTTGGGAGAGTGGAGGGACGGCACAGGAGAGAAAGACCCTCAATGAGATGGATCGATTTTGTGAGTGGAGTGGTGGGAATGAGTGTGTTTGAGAAGGTGAAGTTGACACAGGATAGAATGGTGTTTAAGGCTCTTGTACATAGGGTCGCTATGAATCACAAGTGACTTGATGGCACACAACAACAACAACAATGTTTCCTTGCTCTGTTTTGATGACTGCTTCCTGATTCAAGTATAGGTTTTGCATAAGGACAATCAAGTATTCTGGGGTTCCCATTTTTCTCAGAGTTAGCCTCAGTTTGTTGTGATCCACAGAGTCAAATACCTTTGCATAGTCAATGAAACACAGATAGACATTCCTCTGGTATTCTCTGCTTTCAGCCAAGATCCATCTGACATTAGCTATAACAGCCCTAGTACCACGGCCTCTTTTAAAACCAGTCTGCACTTTAGACAGTTCTCTGTTGATGTGCTGTTCCAGTTGTTTTGGGGTAATCTTCAGCAGAATTTTGCTTGTCCATGATATCAATGGTATAGTTTGATAATTTCCACACTCTGTCTGATCACCTTTCTTTGGAATGGG